TGACAACTACGCCCGCTAGTTACATGTGTTATAATGAAAATGGGCCTGTATGAAATGGACGACGTAACATACCTTTCATGTGCTTCGAGCCTTTTGCGTGAGTCTTCAGCGCCGAAACACCCAAACTTTTCACGGAGATGCTCTTGTTGCACACTCGGCAGTAGGCCGACGTATTATCGCCGGCAACTTTACCGACCCAATCACGGAATTCCGGCTGTTCCAGCCACACCACTTGAAAGTGACATTGTCCCGGCATATTTGTCTGTCTGTCACTAGCTGAGGATGTTAATTTCGATGAGTAGCTAATTCCAGAAAATACAGGTACCCGAAATGACCCGAAGTGATCACGTGATCATCATCGGAACTGATCGGAGACGGCGAAGGCATGTAGCTCGACAGCGGGGTTTGAGGGGAACGCGCCAGGCGCATTTTACGACAAAACTATGGAATATTATACTATTGGAAGGGTGGACAAAATGACATACACAAATGAAATGAACACCACAGGTTGATTTTTATGGGTTTTTTATGGATTTTAGAAGTTTTTCCTGAAAATTTTGGACAATTATGTACATCATTTTACAACTTTTTTTTTTGATTTTTATGTACTTTATGGACCCGTACGAACCCTGTCAAATGCGTCTTCGTTCAATGTTGTTAACTAATATTCGGTTTAATTTTATGCAAATTTTCCTCAATTCTCCGGAGAAATTTTCATAAAAATTTGAAAAACCCGGAATTCCGGGAAAATCCGGAGGACTTTCATCTCTCATATGTAAAGTAAATGTGTATGCATTGTGCTTTATAAACAAAGCCACCTTGCCCTTGCCTTGCCTGAAGCAGTCAAAAGGCAAGTACTGATTAATCCTAGCCTTAAAATATCACAAGTATGGTTGCTTTAACAGGTTCACAGGATCTGAAAGAAACCGATATCTTATACTGTAATGCAATAGTCAATGCAATTTATAAGTAATGTTTTTTAATCACCAACAATAATATATGCTTATTAAATGATGGGGATTTTAATGAACTACTTTTATTACTTTGATAAGAAAAGGTCAGTTTAAAAACAAATACTATATTTCGCAGAGGTCATTTTGACATTTTCAGCATGCTCAAGGGGCCTGCCATCTCTTTCCCAATTCCCAGCCTCAAATTTCTTAGGACATGGTGGCCATCCAATAACCATCCAATGCAACTGTTTCTTGTGAAAATTGTGAATCGATACAAAGGTCCCTTTATCTAAAAACTGTGACACACGAATGTAAGGGTTTTTTTCCTGGCTCAAATTGAGGCAGAGGCGGTACCATCCTTACCATGTGCCATGAGGTGCATGTATTCTGTAAATTCAACAGAAAAGTCAATAGAGTAAATGCACAAGTGAGGACTGCAATGTATGACCTGAAGCGAGCTAGCAAAGCTAACAGGGCTCACGTCACCTAGCCATAAATCAGAAGTGAGGCTCATGTCCATATTTCCTTAAGTCGCAGTAAGCAGCAGCATGACACCTTCTGTTTGAGAAGATAGCGGCAGCTCGGAAGGCTAAACTGTACGCGGCGAGTGGTTTATAGCCTACAAAAGTCAACGATGCTAAAAGGTTAGTAGCCAAGCGCCCACAACGTCAATGGTGAAATCAGATCGCATCGTTGGGAGCCCTTGGCTCCTCTGTGGCAAAAGGTTTTCACTTTTCCTTTCTTGACAGAATGGCCGTCTTCGTTGGCTTTCACAACACCGTCATACCCATGGCCGCCCGATCTTTTTTTTTTTTTTTAAGTTATTTAATTTATTTATTTATCTATTTATTCATTCTGATATTTATCGTGCATCCCCAGTTTGTGGCAGCACTTAACTTGCATGTGCGCAGGACACAGAGGAGTACTGGAGCTTGGTGAAGGAGGACGTGAGAGCCGTTGCTTAAGTCTTTTCTGTCCACTGCAGTTGATATAGCGCCTCCATAGTGGCGCAATGCTGAAACTGCAGTTAAAACACGAAGCTGCCTGATTGAGGGACATCAGTCCCTCAATCAGCACAACTAGAGCTTTACGTTGTGTTGAGCGATATCAATCGGTCTGGCTGTGGGCGGCACAAAATTAGCTGGAGGCGGCTGCCACACAATTTCGAACGCAGGAAAACCCTGTGTATAATAAACCTAAGATAATCTGGGAAACTATTTTGAAAATGACCCACAAAAAGGATGTGAGTTTTCTGCTTTTAATTTAAATGTTTATTGAGGAACAAAAGCTTGGGAAAAACAAAATAAACCAATTTACAATCCGATTTGAATGTGCTGATGAACTTCAATAAGGTCAGTTCAGACTGCAGTGACAATACTGGGAGAAGAATCTGGTTTTACTTTGTCATTACCAGAATCCCAGCACCTCCAAAATCATCACTTTTCAGGAGACCCTCCAAAACAGCGCATTTGCTCAACCATTAACAATGCATCGTCAAAGAGAGCACGCCATTTCAACTACTTTAGATTGGCCGATAAAATGTACAAAAACATCACCCGCTGAAAGAGTAGTAAAATCAAATTGGTTCAAAAAAATGCTTCTACTTGCAAGTTTTTTTTTTTTTGATTCCATAAGGAATTAACGCACTTTGCCAAAGATCCTGTGTGGGATGGAACGTAGTAGCATTTAAACTGGCATGACTGGTCAGCTGTTTGCTGCAGGGAAATTCCTCCCCCCGCACAAGAGTAAAAGATGCCTGGTAACAGTTAGCACGTGGGCAGATGGCCATTTTTTAAAGGACTTTTTCTCAATTCAGCATGGGATTTACTGTGGATTTAATGCACGCTCAGCAATATGCGGGCTGAACAGAAAGCCACATATCACTGAGCTGGTGTTCAAATCATTGCTGCCAAAGAAAGGGCGCATCTTTATTTTTAGGGGCAATCAGCTAACCCTTTATTTGACCTACTGTACGTCAAATTTGAAAAAAAAAAAAAAATTCATTCTCAAATAAAGAACACTAAGAAAAATTTTAACTTAGAAAATATAAAACTTCAATTTATTTTTGAATAAAAATACATTTGTAAGGATTTTTATTGATTTTAGAAGCTTCCCTGAAAATTAAGGACAATTAAGAACGTAATTTTGCCTAATTTTGCAACTTATTTTTATTAACTTTAAGGACACGTGGGAACTCTGTTCATCGTCACTTTCAAATTTGGTGCCTCTCGTGAACCCTTTGAAGGGACCAAACTGGTGAAAGTCTGAAGGGGCAATGTCTCGGCTATAGATGATGAGGGGAGCAGTTCCAGGCTCAGCTCGTTGCTGGTCTGCACCGTTTGGGCTGCGGTGTTAGGCCTTGCGTTGTCATGATGCAAGATGACTCCTGACTGATGACCCCTGCGGTTGTTCTTTTTGCCTTTCTTGACCTGCCTCAGCAGTTCAAAGTAGTTGGCACCAAGTTTGAGTGATGATGGCGCCAAAATTGTTGTGAGCGACTGGCTGAGACATCGGTCCAAAGATTTTTACGCTGAAGGAATATGGAAGTTTGAGCACAGATGGGAAAAGCATTTAACAGTGCTGGGAGATGATGTTGAAAAATCAAAATAAAGTAAGCTTTTATCTGTATTAGAAGTCCTTATACTGAAAAATTCACCTTATTTATTGAATGACCCTCGTAAAACACAAAACACACAAAAGACATGAGTGAACATTTCCGCTAGTTACCGTACTGAGAATGATAACATATTGTAGATTTGTGTGGCATAACCATGCATACTGGGGATAAATAATGCATCCAATGACTGGATGATATAATGGTGAATTGTTTATATCACGGTCTTTTTTTTACTTCATATACAATATTTGCAAACATGAATCACCAAGACATGTAAAGATGCATGTACCAGATTTAGCAGAAATGTCATTTTATTCTGCAGTCCATCTATTGTGAGATTCCCCTCATCGCTAAAGCGGGAATGCTTCGCACCGATCTAGATTTCTTTTTTCATTCACTTCATTTCACCAATTGTAATTTAAGGGAAAATACTATATCAGGATATACCTGTATAATACCCATTATGGGGATATTGAAATTACCTGTATCGGGAGCTACATTTTGGTCCATATCAGACACCTTAAATAGACTGAATGAATCAATCTGTATGAATAAGTACATGCTTACCACTGAGGAGAGTCATTTCATCAAATTGAGAGAGGTTGAGGAAGGCGGTTTTGTTTCTGACACCACTGCATCTTGATTCTTCCTTGTGTTTCTTCACGCAAAGCAAACTTCAAGACACAGAAAGAGAGACAAAATCTGGTTCACACTCGGGTGACCGAACAGGTTTCATTGTGCGTGTCTCCTCTTATTACACATTCTGCCATTTCTCAATAAAGTTACGATTATTTTAGTGTTTTTATGCCTGTCTTAAGTCGGACGATTAAGAATGTTAACCAGGTGTTTGAAGTTTTGTGAATAATGTTGAGTTGAATAACTGTTGGACAGCGGACCAGATTCTTTCTATTTTCAGTGTTTTCTATGGGGAAAACTAGCTTCCAAATACAAACAAATCAGATAGCTTCCAGCATCCCAGAGCAGATTGCGTTCGACCTTCGAGGTGACACAATATTAAAATATTTTATATTGCTTACATAACAAAAATGATGATTGCTCAAATGTGCGTGTATAGGAACTTTGGAAAGAAAACAGATTAATAAAAATAAATAAATCCTGTGCACTGCAAGCACCAGTTTCACAGATGAGAGACAGGTATTTGGCCGGAGTCAGAATAACAGAAATGTCTTTATTGTTATTATTTTGTTAACTCAGCAAAAGGAATGCTGACTGATGCCTTCAACTACAGGCCTTTATGAAAGAAGTTTAAGGACAACCTCTGGTGTCCAACAATTTCAGGCATGACTTTCAATATACCAGCAGATTTTTGAGGATTAGATGATAAATGTTTCAACATCAACAGAAGTCAAGGAATAGAGCAAAGATTGTTGCCACTAGCAGTGGCATGTTATTGCAGGCCATGAATCAAAAGAAATAAAACCAACAAATGCAGGGCTCCCCACCAGTCGAAAATATTGTGTTAAGTAAGACATTTTTTAAAAGAGAAATTTTTATAACACATATTACATAACTGACCAGCGAAACTATGTCTCTCTACTTTACTGATTTATGGTCACTTTAAGGTGGCACGTTGGTTGACTCGTAAGCACGTCCGACTCATGGTGCAGAGGTGCAGGGTTCCAATCCAAGCGGATTGTGGAATTTGCATGTTCTCTCCGTGGCATGTGTGGGTTTTCTCCGGGTACTCCGCTTGCCTCCCACATTCCAAAAACATGCATGGAAGCCTAATGGAACACTTTAAATTGTCCCGAGGTGTGAGTGTGAGCGCGGATGGTTGTTCGTCTGTGTGTGCCCTGCGATTGGCTGGCAACCAGTTCAGGGTGTATCCCGCCTACTGCCCGATGACAGCTGGAAAAGGCTCCAGCACTCCCGCGACCCTCGTGAGGTTAAGTGGTTCAGATTGCAGATGGCCACTTTAAATCTTGAGACAAAATTCAGGGTGAGAGTGGCTCGGTCCAGAACATTTTTTTTGTTCCTGTGCACACCTATTCATTGTTTTTGTGTTTTGGCCAATGCACTGAGCAAAACAGTATGACTCTGCGATTACTTTGGTGCAAAACAACTGTGTTGAAGTGAGGGAAGGAGCTTCATTTAGTTATGCCATAGAAAATGTAGGGTACTTTAACAGTCTTGTGGCATTTATAGGCAATTAAAATCCTTTATTTGGCTTAGGTGTCAATTACTCACTGATTTTTACCATTTATAATACAGCGTGTAACCATATGTGATCCTGCCGTCCCTTAGCGTCCTTTAAGCTATTTAAAAGGCATCCGAGTTGGAGTTTATTGTAAAAGTAAAAAAAACACAAGAATGACACACATTGTATATTTCAATGCAAGACATTCATTTTTAAAACAATGTTAGCGCTAATGCTAAAGTCAATGGAGGATCCCATTGATATGCTCACGGCACGTTCACATCAACTTTGACAGTGAAACTCCTTCAAATAACGAAATTTCACACACAAAGGCTGTAGAAACACATACACATACCTGTAGTTACCATAAAACTATTTATAGGCACACGGGGGGTGCTGAAGCCTATGCCGGCTGTCTTCGGGCCATAGGCGGGGGACACCCTGAACCGGTTGCCAGCCAATCGCAGGGCGCACAGAGACAAACAACCATCCGCGCTCACGCTTACACCTCGGGACAATTTAGAGTGTCCAATCAGCCTGCCATGCAAGGTTTTGGAATGCGCAAGAAAAGCGGAGTGCCCGGAGAAAACCCACGCAGACATGGGGAATAACATGCAAACTCCACAAAGGGAGGCCAGAGCTGGAATAGAACCCTGAACCTCTGCACTGTGAGGTTGATGCGCTAACCACTTGAGCACCGGGCCGCTATATTAAAATCGAAATGGATGTATTTATTATATATTTTTTCTGTATTTCTGCCAAATGTGAAGTAAATTAGTCTATTTGCAGACAGATTTTTTTGCATCTAGTTTGCCAGATCCCATGTCCCTTGCCGTGATTCCTTGATCACTCAAACCTGCCATGATGGCTCATATTTTCAGTTGGCTCCAATGCTAATTTCATGAACTCTATCAACTACAACGGCCTCTAAAATGTGATGTATTTGTTCCTTACAATGTATATTCAGAACTTATGGCGTTCTTCTTCATTCTCGACTCTTCGTTATTTTCAATGCATGGCACGAGGGCTGTAATCAAAAATTATTTCAATTGGAAATCAGTTTTGATTTAATATCAATGTGCATTAAATTGAAGTGAATCAAATCATTCTACTTTAAAATATATGTATCTAATCACCTTTTATCGGAGAGATGTATCTTTGAAGAAAATGACACATTTACGATACCGACAAAATTCATTCATATGAATCTCATTGTATTACACACTCGAACTGAGCCTTACCATAATAATTTGAATCGTAATCCCACCGAATCGAACCCAATCGAATCATTCCACTTTAAAAATTAAACTATGCTTGAATCGTATTGCACCCCATGTATCAAGATTATGTACTATATTGTCTTATGGGAGAGATGCACAGCCCTACTGGGCACCGAATATAAAAACGATGTACGTACAGCAAAAATCATAATTGTGATGTCTTATTTACTGTTTTCCCTCCATTTCTATTACCTCACATTTGCACATTCCTGAACTGAAAGGATACTTTCAGATAATTTTCTGTTGATATTTTAAATGAAACAATTGTTTTCGAATAAATAATAATCTATTGTTTCACATACCTAATTAATTAGAAATAATTAACACCATTATGTGTCTTGATTGTACATTTAGCACAGTTTCTAATGACACAATTCTTTTGAAATAGGATACAAAATTAAGAAAATTATATAAGTTTGTGCGGACTTTTTTTTTTAAAGGGTCACATTTAAAATCTCGACCGCCATTGACTTCGCATAAGACGTTGGCGAGAAATAAGTGCATTTCATTACTTTTTAAAAGAGTCGAAACTTTGATGACGCTGCTTTTACATAAATCTTCGAAACCACGGTGATTGTACGCCATTACTGTTGTATGTAGCCACCCAAAACCCAACAGGTCAGTTTGCATAGACGTCGATGTTCTTACCTGCACGAGTGTGTGAGACAGGCGGGGCACTTGTACTTGGCCTCTCCAAAGCCACAGACCCCACAACTGTTGGCAACAACATTTGAATGAAACAATTCATACAACAATTTACATACGATCTAAATGCAATTAATTTTATTTTTTCAATCGTGATATATGGGATGGGGGGAACAACACGAAGCCCGGCGCCAGTGTTTCTTGTCGGTGCCACGGTAAGGAAGCAACTCTAGTAAGCAAACGTGCTAACGTTCTAGCAAGGTTACGAGACCATACATTGATCTTAACGCGCTGTTATTCGCATTCAGTCTGAAAACTGTTAATTGCAAATGCATTAAAACAGTCATTCGTATGATGACATCGGTGTTCGGGTTTTGAATTCCGCACACTTACTTCGACAGAGAAATCTTCCTTATCGCCCCCTTCATCTCTTCGCCTTGACTTTTACTCTCCGTTGCAGTCTCCTCAACTGACATTCTATGCATCGATTGAGAGACTCCACGATACATTACATGACGAATAGCCACTTTAGTGAAAGGAAAACTTCTTCCGCGGTGACCACGCGAGCATGCGGTTTGTTGTGGTTGTGGAGCTACATCCGGTTTAAACTCGCTCGTTGGCGCCTCCAAGTGTCATATCGTGTTTATGGCGTCCAGAAAGTGACTCGAAATAATGTTTATTTGCAAACAATGGCCGTTTTGAGACTGAACACGACACAGTATTCACTTTGCAAAAACAATGCAGTATATTTTTTGTACAACCTCCATGTTCACGCAATCGGGTCGACTGCAGTCAATGTTGACTATACCGTCAGTGTACTTAAACTCATTCAGGGCCATCCATTTTCAGACCCTTTTAAAAATAATAATGCATCACACTAACTGCTGATTTTTTAAAATACAAATCAGTATCTGGGATTGACTGTGTGGAGTCTGAAAAGACAAAAATATGTCTTTGGGAGTAAATTAATGACATGGAAACACACACACACACACACACACACACACACACACAAAAAGAAATTTGATAATGAACCTTTGAGGTAGAGTGGTTTTGTTGTATATATACTTTTGGTTTTTGTTATATATATATATATGAATGAAAAATGTTTGAAAAATGACATTAAATTGATTTGGGGCGCAACGAAAACCAATTGGAATAAAAAAAATGTAAAATATTTGAGTGCACTGAATCAATGTGAATTGATCCACTTGAAAGTAAGTCTTTTAATCGTATTACACTCCATGTTTTGATACATACTAAACAAATAATCTTTAATTGGAAAGATACACACCCCTAAAAATGGCCCACGTCCAGGATACAGTATGATAATTTCCTTAAAGACACAAAAATGTTGGATGAAATTTCCATTTATTTATCATCATATTCATTATTTACACATGTGCACCCAGCTTTTATTCATGCGGACAATTCATAAAATCACACTTTTCTAAAAGTAATATAAGTTAAGAATATGGTGACTGTGTTTTAAATGAATTCTGACTCTGGCCCATTGTAGCTGCCAGTCCACTTAATAAACTGAAGCATCAGTGTGATAAACATACAGTTGCAGGTGTGAACAAAGGAAAACACTGTGAAAACATAAATACCTCTCTAAAGTGTGGACGAACCAAGAGTTCTCTGAGAGTATAACTTACTGTTGTACAGTAATGTGAAAAATGAAAATAGGATATAAATAAACATAACAGTATGATGGCAAAATATACACAGGAAATGCAAAAACCTACTGATGACTCTGTATTGCAGCACCAATGATAGGATCCCCCTGAAGAACCTACCACATATAGGCAAAGCTACAATAATATGTAGCGCACTAAAAAACGGTTCATAAATTAAAAGCAACCAACTCAACATAAGTACTTTTACAACATAACCCACCTTGATGTAACCGGTACATACACAAAGGGATCAAAGACTAACTAACCTCAAGGGAACCATTCGAGAAAGCAAGGTAGAGGTAGAGCACCATCTGTCAAGATGAGCAGGTCCGACTGTGTAGGACCGACAATAAAATATGATAACAATGTCCATATAGGCTTTGAAGGGAAGTAAATTCATAACATCAACATGTTATTGCACTCAGATAGATTTATAGTTGTACAGTGCTCCTATTTAGAGGTTTTGGACACCTCTTTGATGGGCCCCCGCATAGGATGACCTGCGTCTGGGGCGGGCGGAGGTGTCTCTGGGAGTTTGATCAGGGGGCAATATGCATTCATTAATACGGCCAACCTGAGCATTGTTTGATAAACAATGAAACAAGCAAAAACGTATTTTACACATTTGTTAGTAAATAAAGCTATTTCTATACTGTATATCGGCATAGGTGGTCTGTACGAATTAAATTGGCCTATGAAAGTCTGTCACTAGTCCGATAGTGGCTGAATTTTGTCCTCACAACATCTCCAGAAAACATTGCATTCAGATTTGAAGTTAAAACTTCTCTTTGGTGTAAAACCATTAGGTCGAAAACCAGCCAATCAAGGAGTATCATGTGAAACTGGGCAGAGGATGACGATGTTAGCTTCAAAGGAAGCAGACAGGACCAACTTCAATATGTCGCTGAACATTGGGACCTGGTGTGGGAATTTCCACGATGTCTACAATAGGTAGCTGGTGACTCTCCTGAGTATGGAAAAAGAAATGTGACTGATGCCAGCTGCCATCTTGGATCTGAAACACAATGGATGGAGTAGGGAAGAGAAAGCCATTAATGAATGGAGTCGCATTTAAAACACAGCAGAGACCAGCCAACCAGCTATGAATAGCAATTTAATAAGTGTCTTGTGATAAGATAGAACACACAGCCTTACAGAGTATAAGTCCGAAAACGAGAAACAAAGAATGCATTATAGCACATGGCATCCAAGATTAAAGGTAAAGTATGTTTTTTATATATATATAAAAACTATGACTCCATAGTTTTATATTAAGGAATTAAGGGCCAAGACAATGTATTGAATGAATCAAAACTATAATAATAATAATAATAATCATAACAATAACAACAATAAAAGTGGTCAATATTTTATGTAACTATTCAAAGAAAGTAAATGTGATAACAATTTAAAGAATATATTCATATTGTTTGGAGTCTTGTTGGTGGCCCATGTTTGTTGTTTTGGCTCAGATGCAAATTTAGACCAGAGTCTTCAGTAAACCTAACATACATGCAGAGAAAACTCACGCAAGCATGTACAGAACATACAATCTCTTCTCAGGGGGGTCAGAGCTAAGATTTCAAAACTTCAGAACAAAGAGGCAGATGTCCTAACTTTTAGTCCCATCTATGATTTATATAACGGACTAGACATTCCGAATTTCAGAATCCCTCATCAGTCCTACCTTGCACTCATCTTTTAGCACATATGGTTCAAGTAAACTGTCGGTCTCAAACATTTGATTGTTCCAGCCTCGAAACCGAAGATTGCTGCTCTCTGTTGGTTTGAGGCCAGGAGAGCTGAAACCGTCTGCGGTGCTGTTGGAATGATCTCTACGACAATGGAGTCCGATGCTCTGGCTGGCCTCAGAACTCAGTAAATGGAGAAACTTCATTTGGACTTTCCCTATACCAAACACCATCTGCAGGGAGAAAAGCACAGACAAAGGTGCCTTCAATCTGTCTTGACAAATGTTGTTGTCGGGTGACTGCAATCATGTACCTCAAGTTTTTCTTTATTCTATAATTTCAACACACCCTCTACAAAGCAGGGTTGCGTCAGCGTTACTCAGAGGTGCAGTCAATTTAAGTGGAACAGAAAAAGACATATTGCTGTTCTATGAAGTCCCAGGCCAAGAATGCCTATCAACAAACATCATTAGTGACCTACAGGTGACCCAGAGCGTGTGACACCCAGAAGACATTCCTTCAAAACTTTCTCGCGCGAACATAAGGATCCTGAGTGACTTGACACTCTGGCAAGTCATTTGGGACTCATAGAACCATAAGTTCATAACCAAGGTTCTATGATGTTCCACAAAACGCGGTGCTGAAAAGCACAGGATGTTTTATTGTATAGTTTTAAAATCTTGTGCTCACCCATCTTCCCTTCCTCATGCTGATGACGTCATATTGAGAAAGGGGAAGATGGGCAACACTAAAGATTTCTTGACTACTTCAAGTACTAAAAAGTAAGGTAGGAGTCTACAGAATTTGTATATCCACTCTATATGTCCATTCATTATGTATTGATGCAGAACTATCTCTGAGGGACAATTTGTCAAATCAAATCGATGTAGTTGGATTTTAGAAACATCCATACATCCATCCCTTTTCTGATCCGCTTATCCTCACGAGGGTCACGGGCGTGCTGGAGCTTAACCCAGCTGAATTCGTGGAGTACGCTGGGTACACAATAAACTGGTTGCCAGCCAATCGCAGGGCATACATTCATGCTCCCACTCACCCCAAGGGACAATTTAGAGTGTTCAGTTAACCTGCCATGCATGTTTTTGGAATGTGGGAGGAAACCGGAGCACCCGGAGAAAACCCACGCAAGGACCAGGAGAACATGCAAACTCTACACAGTAAGGCCGGGCCCGGAATTGAACCCTACAACTCTGTAGTATGAGGCGGACGTGCTAACCAGTCGATCACTGTACCCCCGTTCAGAAACATAAATCACTTTAAATGATGGAACATGCGTACATTTCATTGTTACCTTATTTTTGGCCAATGGATGTAAACAGGTCTGACCCCCTGCAGTGAAGTTACAAAAGACCTGGAAAGCATCGGAAGTGCAGCCAAGGTTTGGATCAATCCAGAACCACCCTTGAAGTCCGCATTGAGATTGAAACAGACAGAAAGAGAGACAGACAGAGAGCGAGAGAGAATGAAAAGTGAGGTTGGGGTTGAAGTCAAATGTTTAAACGAACAAACTGTCAATCAGCTCTCACCATCTTTTAGCTTGTGATGACAGTCCAGCAGGTCCTTACAGACGCGAGTGGGGTTCTCTCTGGTTCCCACAGGCTTTTTGATGCTCTCAACAACGACGCTCAGGTAATGCAAGGTCTTAAAAATCTCTGTATTCTGTTCTTGTAGGCTCACCTCAGCGTTCTGAAAACTCTGGTCATAAATTACACTTGCATTAAGAAAAACAATCTCACTACAGTAGATTTGTATGAGATTTAAATATGTTCATGTATTTATAAAGCCACTTCATCATCCATTGTCACCCTGCATTCAACCTTTATTGAATGAATTAAATACCTCACCTCTTTTCTGAGAGCAGCTTTGGAGTCATACATGCTGTCGAATTCTGAGTCATCATATAGTTGCCTCTGTAGGATCAAGATCACAATTTATTTTCCTATTAAATGTAAATCTATCAAAAGATTGATCTGAAAGAAGATCTGTTTTTTTAAATTGATGCATTTTTAGGGTATAAAGGGCTCTAAATTATATGAGGGGGGTGGGGGGGTGTTGGCATGTCACGAAGAGAAAGCGGTCACGACGGCCATTTTTCACAATTCAAAGTACGCTCCACACAAACAGCAGCAAAAATCTCAGGAAGGTTGTTGATTTTATCTCTGCAGTCTGTTCACAAGATTGTCAGCAACAAAGTCTGGTGATGAATTGTTAAGGTAAAAAAAATATTGACTCTCGAAGTGGGGCAGCGTTTGAACGTTCTGCTGGACCATACTTTTTGAGAAAACTGGTTTTCACACAAAATGAGGTGAGTCAGTTCATGACACAGAAGCTGTATAATTGCTGCTGATGAAACAAAACCAGACTTTATTTTCCATGTCTTACAACCATTTGCTGACCTACGGTATCTCCGGTTAAATGCAGTGCGTTTTTGTAAAGAGAGCCTACTGTACATCAGTTTTACAGCATTCTGATTTTGCTCTGCAGACCTGAAAGTAGTTTTAATGCTATCATGCACTGTACAGACCCTATAAATGTTTTTGGTTTTGCTTCTGGTGTGTGTGGTTACAGGTATGTTCTTATCTTACTTACTGTAGGACCTGGAGCACCAGGGGGGCCCTATGGAAAAGAGAAACATGAAAAAATGAGGTACAAACGTATACTAAAGCAACACTAGATGAAGATGCAAAGCAAGGGGAGACTCTTTTGGATTGTTCAAAAAAGAAAATCTGAGTTTTGGAACCAATTAGCATGTGTTGAATTTGACTGACGTTTTGCTCAACACATGACAGGCAGGGTGCATCGTGTTGTTTGGGGCGTGGCTGACATTGTGGACACTGGCGGAGGAAAGCCCAGAGAAGAAGGCCGGTAGCAAGTGTGTGGACTTGGAGCGGGTGTGCTCAGCGACAAGCGTGAGTGGCACAGAAAATGGTTTGCTACAGAAATGGAATGGAGTGAAGCCCCAATATGGCATCCTTTTCATTTGTCTGTTTTTCACCGCTGTGGTTGAAGTCACTGGACCGAGAGATACGTTCCGTTTACCAGTTGACAGGCCAAATACAAATGCAGTTGGTTCACCCCTGACTACGGTTTGGAGCTGAGGACAATGATAGGTCTGATGACACACCGATGTCATGCAGCAGTCCATGCCATCAAGTCAACACACAACACAAGATCCCAGTTTTCCATCTTAATGGTAGAGTTTGCATTGATTTTTTTTTTTAACCCGCCTCAAAACTCACTTGTATTCTTTGGCATTTGACTCAGCATGACCCAAATTATGATCTGAGTTATACTGTTTGGTGCTCTCTACCGTCTTTGATACTGAGTTGTTGCTTTGCTTTACTGTTGTATATGTTTCTTGCTCCATGTACAGCACTTTGTGTGCAACGGTGGCTGTTTGAAAGTGCTCTATAAATACATTTGAGTTGAGTTGAGTTGATTTTAAAAGTGTCTGTTTGGTAGAATAGTGGCCCGGTGATCCACTGTTAGCGCGTCTGCCTAATAGTGCAGAGGTGCAGGGTCCGATTACGGCTCCGGACTTCCTGTGTGGAGTTTGCATGTTCTCCCTGTGCCGGCGTGGGTTTTCTCTGGGTACTCCGGTTGCCTCCAGTTGAGTAAAAGCACCTGTGGTAGGGTTTTTACCGTCTGGATAAGGGAAATCCTGATAAGGGAGGCAGCTTTGTAATTTGCTTGTTCCTTTAAGTATTTAAAAAACTGAGTTTTAGTGGCATCTTAACCCTCTGAAGCATTTCACCATATTCATATTTTTTTTCTTATAGAAAAGAGCACTGTTGTAGCAGTCTTGGAAACATATATTTATCGCCCATACAAGAGTTTCCATTTTCCATGCTTCTCCAGACCTGGAAATGTATTCAATCGAATTCCATACTTTTTCCAAGACACAACCTGGCAATTCATGTTGACATTTGAAATTGAAACCAACTTACTCTGGGTCCTGGACTTCCACGTGGTCCTTGGGGCCCCTAAAAACATGGCAAATTTCTGTGAAAATGTTACAAAACTGTGAACAACAGTAAAACAACTACTCCCCACATTCAATACTCCAAGTTCGTGTTTTACAAGAAAAAAATCAGGTGTAAGGCCAAAATGTATCATTAACCCTTTCATGCACCCTGCAACCTGATAACATGATATGCTGTCCACTGTACTAACCGCTGTCCCTAAAAGGGTTGAAATATCTCCATGAGGCTGTGACAAAAGCTAATGTTATTTGTGTGTGTCAGCACAGACTCTCAGTTATCCAGTTTGAATTGAGGCAACTCGACGCATTTTCTTTGTTGAAGATTGACAGAAGGACCAGACAAATATCGGGTTCCCTACAAACATATCATGCAGTGGTCTCAAAAATGAAAAAAAAAAAAAAAAACAACTCAACTGGTGCATATCTCAGTGCAAAGACCACAGAGGAGGAGAAAGAGATGAAAGTCCTCATTCCGTGAATCAGCGTGCAGGATTGAGTGACGTGACTCAGGCTCAAGCGCCAAGTGGAACACAACATTGTTTCACATTATAAGAACTACGGAGGATACTCCTGTTTGTTGGTAAAAATAACCCTGTATGTAAGGTATGCCTTCTAAAAATGGTCACTGTTCAGAAAGTTTCAGTGACACATCGATCACATCACTACTTGCGAATGAACCATACAAAGAATACATAAAAGTTTAAACAAGTAAACCCAGCGAGCTATTTATCAAACAGGTACCGCATCATATGACAAACCAAGTATACGTTAGAACATGTCTTTCTGTGGAGTTGTAGTCAAATCTGTTCGCCAGTATGTTCTGTAGTGACAAACATATCTATTTGCTTTAACATATTTAATTAGGTTTACAATTTGATGTCATCTAATTTTTTATTATATATATACGGTGTTTATGTATGTATGTATATATATATATATATATATATATATATATGTGTGTGTGTATATGAAATAAATCGTGCTGTGTCAAACCGCAACAGCTGCTTACTTAGAGCGTTGGCGTTTTGACTCTCCACGGTGGATTTCCGATTAACTGTGTCTTCATTTTGTCTGGGTTCAAAACAAACATGCACATACAGGCATTGGCCTAAAACATTTACAGAGAAAAAAAAATAGAAACCTGGACGTTGAAATATCTACAACACAGGTAAGAAAAAGCAGTAGGAAGGTCTTTCTGTTTAAATTTCAGTGAATGCAAGCATCGCTACCGTTTCAATTGGGCATTTTTCTCCTGAATATATGATCATAATTAATTTGCATAAGGTGTAATGTAGGAGAAAAAAA